GATCCAGAACACTTCTGGTGTGGCTTCAGCACTCCAAAAATCACTTCCAGACGTCAAAGCACTGAACCATGCGATGGGGACTCACACACCGAGCTGCCCCTACTCACCACGCCTCTGTCCCCAAGGTCCAGCGCGTCCCAGGTGAAGCCCTGGGGCAAAGTGTATGGCTCCTGGCGGATGTTGTCCTTGTCTGGTTCAACGGGGCCGTGGGTATTCACCACCTCTCCTGCCAAAGAGAGCAGGGAACTGTGAAAATCACCTCCATCCCCACAGCACCTGCTCTGGGCTCTCAGCACCTCAGCCCTCATGCAGGCAAAGCAGCCACGGCAGCGTGGCTGTCAAAAGATGCACACCCCAGTGATGAGGAATTGCCTTCAAATGGCACTGAAAAAGCTTCCTGGCAATGAGGAGGCAAACAAAGCCCACAGCAAGAACTGTCACCACCTCCGCTTCTGGAAGTGCTCATCCATGTAACACTGCATGCCTAAAACCCTGAGATGGACAGTGGGGCAGTCAGACAGAGCACAGTCAGCAGTTTGGTGCACTGTGGCTGCTCAGTGCCTCTCCTTCCCCACCCCTTTCATGCTGTACCTCCCAATTAATGGGGTTTTCGGGCACAGAGGCGATGTTTGCCACGTCAGGATCCTCTGGTGAAAGGAGCAAACACAAACCAGGCTTTGCTGCCTCGGTAACCCCATGCCTTTGGTATTCCACAATGATTTCCCAGCACAAGCATAAAGAGGGACCAAAGCTGGGTATCACTTCCAGCAAACAGCCCTTTGAGACCAAACAAAGCCTCGGACGGGTGCTGACAGCATGAAAAGGGAATCACACGCGGCGTTTGCAGCAAGAAGTGTTGGGAACTGCCTTGTGAAGATTGTGCAGACAATCTGCAGCCACAACAACTTCAGATAAACCTACATACTATGCTCCCATCTCCTGTGAGGGCTTCCTGGGACAGCCTGGGGGCTCCGGGCCACGTACCGAGCTTGGGCACTGGCTGTGTGTCCCAGAACTGGTAGCTGCGCTTGCTGGCCTCCTCCATGGTTTTGGCAGGGCCCTGGCCTACAGAGAAGAGCTCAATGGCTTTCTGAATCTCCTGGATCCTCTCAGCGGGCAAAGAGTTGACCTGGGGCAAAAAAAAAGGACAAAATGAGGATGCTGAGCTTGTAGGTCTGTGTTTCAGCTCCTCGTGAGGAGTGCTGGGGGGTACCAATGGGGGAGGGACAAACCCTGCACCTCCCATGCTCCTTCCCAAGGCTCTCGCTGCTAGTCCAGGGCAAAGCCAAGAGGGGCAGACAGCCCCTGCTGCTGTTCTTATGTTAATTAAACAAAAATCAACACCAGGGAATGTTGTCCAAGTGTAGGAAAATGGGTTTGTTGTGCTGGCAGCCAGGCACGGTGGCACAGAGCGGCCGTTCCCTGCCATCCCCGCTCTGATTTCGGGAAGAGCAGCTGAGAGGCGCCAGTCTGAGCCTTTCAGTGGAGCTGGCTTTGATACTCAGCAACGGGCTGCATTCACCCTGCAGCAACACCTCCCACAGCAGTGGGAATTCCCATGCACTGAGCCAGGAAATCACTCTAAACATGAAGGCTTTTGAGCAGCCAAGTGCCTGAATACAACAGCAGGCAGTGTCAGCACCGGGGTAATTTTGACCACCCTGAAAGGTTTGAGATGTTCACCTTCATTGGCTGGTCCTGAGCCTGGTCGGGCTGATCTCCTCCTTTTTCTTTCTTCCGTTTTGGTTTCTTTTTCTTCTTTTTGGCTCCGCTGTCATTCACTGGACTCAAGCCACTAGGGAACAAAAGAAACATCATTGCAGTTTTTGGGTTGGTTTGTATTTGGTGTTGGTTTTTTTTTTTTGAGGACACTTACACAGTCTCTGAAACACCCTAAGGAAAATAAAAGCTCCCTGTTCCAAGCCCTGGCCTCACAGTCCCCTTCCTTCCCCTGTCCTCCAGCTGAGGACCATGCATTGGTTGAGGTTGGAGGCACCTCTGGATGCACTGAGGCCATCTGAGCTGGTGGCCAGGACCAAGGGCTGCCTGCCTCCATGGCTACAGGCTCCAGCAGCTTCCATACCAGGAGAAACCCCATTGCCAAAGCCAAGAGGTCTCTGTGTGTGTGGATACGTCTTCGGTCCATGGACCCACACAGCATCTCTCCACTCCAAACTCCTGCTAACAAGTTCAGCCCAAGCGGAATTATTTTACCAACAGGTAGAAGAGGGGAGAAAAACCTCCCTGATTTATGAGTGAAGATGTTGTGAGCAGGAAGAAATCGGAGCTGAGTGTTCTGCATTAGCAGATTTCAGCTGGGGAATGAATGCAGCCCATCAGGCAAAGCACAGAGGAAATGTAATGCAGTGAATGGGAGCTACGCCGGAGTCCTTGGGACTCACAGCCGTGCTTGGAGGGATTTTCAATTTTAAACCCACTTAGCAAAGCAAATACCAACGGTTAGAGGTATTTTCTATTTTAAAGTCCATTTAGCAAAACAAATAGCGTGCCCAATCCCCTCCAACTCCCCAAATTAACCCCCGTGCCCTGCACGAATTGCAAACATCCCCAGTCGCAGTGCATGGGGCTGCTCTCCATCCCATCTGTCAGTGAACAGACAGCTCTGCCTCGAGCCCACAGCTCTCCCAGATGTGCTCACAGCCTTTTTCCTCTCCTATCTCGTCAACCCAAGAGCTGCTCTGACAGATAACATGGGTGGAGAAAGGCACACCGGCTGCGCTACCAGACCTATCTTGGTACTTTGGGACATGGGCTGCTGGCATAGCAGGGACGAGTTGGGTGGAGCTTGGTGATCTTGTAAGTCTTCTCCAACCTTAATGATTCTTGAAAGAGATGTTAAGGCACAAGATGAGGTGACGGGAGGCAGCCAGCAGGGCGTCACCAGCCCATGGTGGGGGGAGGTGGAACTGCATGAGCTTTAAGGTCCCATCAAACCAAAACCTTTCTGTGATTCCAACTCCTCAAACACCTCCATGCTTAGAAATCAGAGAGGTGGTGGATGAGGAGCTGTGCCTGTCCCACATTTAGATGCTGGAAAATCCTCCTGACAAACTAATTGTGTGGCTAATTGGGTGCAGGTAATCTCATTAGGCTGTGGGGGCGGGCAGATGGCGGGGACATCATCACTGTGATGTGTTCTGCAGCAAACCAGAAACAGCAACGAAACACCGCTTCCACACAAAGGAAATGAGAATAAACATGAAAGTGTGAAAAGGTTTCTCTGTTGGAAAATGAACTCTGTGCTTCACCACAGAGCCACTTCCCAGCGCTGACACAGAACCCGGGCGGGGGATGTCAATTCCTCCTTCCTGTCCTTAAAAGGAAAGGAAGTGCTGCTATCGCTCAGTAATAGTGCTGAGTTCCTACAGCCTAGAGCCAAGAGCTGATGGCTCCAAGCACAAACTGGGCACTGGCAGAGGGACAGCCCCAGGCACAGCTCCCAAAAACCGCCCCTTTGTGCTCTGTGCTGGGGACAGCACTCACCTCGTGCCCTTGCAGATGTGGCGCTGGGGGACATGGTTAGTGGACATCAGGATGGGTTGAAGCGTGACTGGATGATCTTAGAGGTCTTATCCAACCTTAATGTTCTATGAGTGGGCATGGAGGGGATGGATCTGGTGAGGATGGGTTGGGGTTGGACTGGATGATCTTAGAGGACTCCTCCAAATTTAATGACTATGTGACTTGCCAACCCTTCCTAACCCAGCTCACTCATCAGCCACCATTCATCTGAACAGCTGTACTGGGAAATCATGCCGAGAAAGCACAGTAACAGTGATTAAATGCCATGTCTGCTCTCCGCTTGGTCCTGGTTCCTGCAAACCTAATCATGTAAGAGCAGAGGAAAAGAGAAATCTTTCCAAGCATGGCTAAACCCATTAAAAGGAGACATGATGCCACACCCAGGAGGCAAATAAAATAGAAATGCACATCTGTGCTGCTGTAAAACAGCTTCTGTAGTATGTCTTACATGACCTTTTATTACCAGACAGGCAAGATCACTGCTGATGGGAAGAGAAAGGCCGTTCCTAGGATGCAGGTGGGAGCCTGGTGAGGCTGGGATGTGCCAGGCAGAGGCACAAAACCTCAGTGTGAATGGTGTGGGATCACTGCTAGTGTCTGTGTCATCGTTTCACACCTCGTGTCCCCAGCACTGCTCCGATGGGTGCCAAGCAGGTGGCACTGGGTGACACGGCGATGCTGTAGGAGCCAGCGGGGGCTGCAGGCAGGAGGATGGCACACACCAAAGCACCCGGCATAAAGCTGCAAGAATCTCCGAGGTCTCCGCCCCCCGCCTCCATCCACGCCACGATCGGGCCCGACCCTGCAGCTTCAGCACACACGCTCTCACACATAGGAGTGAATGGAAGCTAAACGGCCCGCCCCCAGGCCGACCGACAAACGGCTCGTCCAATCGCAACGCGTGATGTTATCTGCCGGCCAATCAACGCGCGCCAGGGGCGGGGCGGCGCTAACTTCCCGGCCGCTGCCCACCTCCATGGGCCCCGCGGCCGCTCCCGCGCCTCGCTCACCCCCGCTTCGAGCCGCGCTCCGCTTCGTTCTCGCAGTCGCTGCAGTGCTCGTGGTCGTTTTCCTCCGCCGACGGCCGCTGAGGCCTCGCCAGCGGCCGCCTCACTGCTGTCTCACTGTCGTCCGCCATCTTGAAACGGGGCCTCGGCGGCTGCCGCACCCCCACAACAAAGCGCGCTGTGATTGGGTAGCGCGCCGCCGGGCATGCCGGGAGCGGTAGTCCGCGCGGATAGGCGTGGGCCGGGCCGGGAGTGGGCAGGAACTACAACTCCCGTCAGCCTTTGCTGCCCCCCCTCCCGCTTCCTGCCCGAGGGGGTCGGACCGATCCTAATGCGGGTGGCGCTGATTGGCTGAGAGTGGCACTCTCAGTTCCTCCCACCCAATCGGCGTGCGCTACACTGCGTGGTGCGCGAAGCCGGCAGCGGGTGAGTGCGTAGGGGGCGAGGCTGCGGGTCTGGCTCGGCCCGGCTGAGGGGCTGCGGTTGGGGGTGTGGCTGCGGATTTCCACGCTGAGATCATGATTTATTTTTTTACTTTTTTCTCTTTTAATTTCATTTTTTTTCATTGCCGAGCCCCCGGCGCTGGGCTCGGAGTGAAGTTGGTGCACCTTGGCCTTCAATCACGGCTCCTTGGGATGTGGGCCGTTAGGCCTCTCTGTTCTGTGTGGTAAAATCATTGAATTCACCACTTTATTTATTTATTTTTTTTCTCTTCTGGTTTTGGCTTTCCTCTTGTTTGTTTGTTTAATTAGGGCAGACCAACACCGCCCCAAACTGCTCTGTTCTGGGGGAAAAGCAGCATCTGGCTCCTGCAGGAAGGGATGATCAGCCCCTGTGTACAAATCAAATCGTTAAACATTCACACCTCACAGCACGTTGATACCTCGCACCACAGGTCTTGTCTGGTCCCTGTGGCTGTACAAATGCTTACAAACTCCATTGGGCTGCATTTTGGACGCCAGCCTTTCACACCGCTCCTTTACCCCTCGGTAATTCCTGCAGCTGTCAGCTCACAGAGGTCTGTAACGGAGGGACAGAAAGAGGTTTGTTGGGAGCACATAACAGAGGGACAGAAATAGATTCATTGGGATCACGTAACAGGACAGAAATAGGTTTGTTGGGACCAAGTCCCAGCTGGGGCCACAGCTTGAGGTTACTGCGCTTAGAAACGCTGTATTTACTTTACATGGGCAGGAGAGTTTTATGTTTCTAAACACAATGAGAAGAGTTTCCTCCCCACAAAGCTGGGTACTGATGGCCTGAGCCACTTCCTCGCCCCCACACCAGCACTGCTCACATCTCAGGGTGTAGAACATCCAGGGCTGGATCCAAACCCGCTCTGAAGGTGAGGGGGGCATAGGAGGAGGGAATGCCCCATGGGGGTCAGGTGCTTACTTGGCAACAAAGCTCAGGATTTACTTCAGCCTCTTGGAGATCACTGATGTTTGTTGTGGCTGCCCTCTCTGAATTCCCCCTTCTTGCTGGAGTTAACCCCATCTGTTTGCCAAGAGGAAGAGAAGAGCGCACGTGGTGCTGCTGTGGGCTCTGTGTACCCTCAGCAGCCACAGAGTGAAGTTGCTGGCAGGTGCTGCTGGCTTTCCTCTCTTTGCTCTAACTCCCATTTCCTCCCTCTGCCAAACTGCCTTCAGCTGCTGCTGAGCACATCCAGCCCTCTCTGGATCCCATTTGTAGGACTGAGTAATGACGCAGGTGTCTTTTTCTAGCAAAGAGGAAGCATTGAAATCACACAGATCGTCAGGGTTTGGGGCAGGTGTGCCTCTCCAGGAGAGGCTGAGCTTCCCCTGGTCTGGCTGGGAGGAGGATGAGGGGTGGCCAAGAGCAGCCCACCACTCCAGGGATGTGGTTACTAAGGGGATGGAGCCACTCGCAGCCGATTTGGCAAAGGGCTGAACCGGCCCCCGGGCTATCAGCAGGCACAGGGCTGTGTGTCTGATGCCTGTTTGTGAGCTGACAGCCAGGAGCTCGCTGCTCAGAGCCGTGATTTCTTGCATCCGTCGCGCTGTCCATGCGGTGCGTGCTGCTGATGACAGTGCTGGCTTCCAGGTAGTGCAGAGATGTGATTTACTTGCAGCCTCTCGTGGTCTGCGTCCCGATTATGTCAAAGGTAGCTTGTCTCCTCTTGCTCCCCATCTGTTGAGATCGAGCAGGGCTCACTGTCTGTCCTCGTGGGCTGAAGTGCTGAGTGAGTTCTTCCCGTTGTCACAGATCCTGTGTCACCCTGCCAGAAGCGTTGGGTGCCCTCTGATTTGGGACGCTGTAGGTGAGGCACAGCCAGAATCCCCATGCTCTGGGGAAGCCTTGTTTAACCTGGCTCTGTTCTTCAGCGTGGGCACCCAGCTCAGAGGGGTGCCAAGACTCTAATAATGTCTCAGTGACTCCCTGAAAATGTATGACTGGGCTCTGAATGGAGTTGCTTGTTTGGTATAAATATTTGATGAACAAAACAGCCTCGTCCTGGCACGTTTTCAGCTCTCTCTTTCTATTTCAGAGCGCAATGTTCCTGGTCGGGCTCTCGGGTGGAATCGCGTCGGGGAAGAGCACGGTGGTGGCCGTGCTCCGGGAACTGGGCTGTGCCGTGATTGATGCTGATGTTATTGCCAGAGAGGGTTCGTTCTGCATTGCTGATCTTTCTCCCCGATGTTCCCCTGACAACTGGGATTGATGTGCAGTGACGCGCAGACGGCAGAGGGTGCTCTGGGTACATTAGATCTGCTTCCCTCCCATTCCCCCAGCCGATGGGGATGTGTGGAGCAGCTGTCTCAGGGGATTGGAACTAAGATATATTTCTAATAAAAAAAAAAAAAAGAAAAATAATGTCCTAATAACAAATGCCAGGGGAGATCTTATCCTGAGTTTCCCTCTCCAGGAGTGCAATGCAGTCAGTGCTTTCCAGCTTTGAAAGTGAGCTCTTGGCAAAAGCAATGCATTTCTCCTTACACTGGGTTCCGTGGGCTGATCCGACCTCCTGAGCCCCAGGACCTCACCCTGTAACTCAGTTATGCTGCATGGTATCATTGAGCTGAAAGAATTCCCCCGGTGCTGGCTGTGAATACAGAGAAATCCATCCACAAAATCATTTGTGCCTTAATGTGCTCAAAAAGGAAAAAAAAAAAAAAAAGGCTGCAAAGATCTCAGCTCAGGGGGAATTCAGGCTGTGCTCCTGCACGTCTGCACCTTGCTGCTTAGAAACCCCGGCGCTGGGGCTGAGCAGCGGTGCAGGCTGTGTCATTTTGAAGCGCTTCTCTGTTTGTGGAAGATCTTAGCATGTAGCCACTCAAAGCTGCGATGCTCTCACGTTTTATTGCACTGTAATTCCCCTGGAGGCGCTGGAAATTTGCTGGAGGTGCTGAGAGCCCTCAGAGGCCGTAGGAAAGCAATACGGATGCTTGATGTCAGTTTTCTACCAATCGCTTCGTTTTCCTTCAATTCCTTTTTTATGTGTGTGTGCTCACGTATGGATCTGCCCCACCCTGCAACGGCCTCGCCGTGAAATTCTGATGGAGAAAGAAATTGGCCTTAAAGACTTTTATTAGGTTGGCCCACGGTTACAACCTGTGGCAACGTTCCTGGATTTCTGAGAGGAAATTACATCTGGTTTGCCACTCTCTGTGGCCAGCCTCAGCTTGATCTTAATTACATTTTTATTATTTCATCCTTTCTGCCGGTGATTTTGATGCCCGTTTAACGTCAGAGTCCCCCCCAAATACCTGCTGGGAATCGATCTCTGAGGCGCTCGCTGCATTCGTTCTCACAAAGAATTTGGTGGCTGAGGCTAAAAGCAGCAAAACACCTTTGTGACAGCCAGAGCTGGCGGTGCAGCACGTCCGAGGCGGTCGTGGCGCTGAATTAATGTCCCCAAAGCGCTTCGATCCCCAGGCGTCAGCCCTCGGAGGGACCTTGGGCTGAGAGTTTGCGGAGCGCTGCCTGCAGCGCCGGTGCCAGCTGTCTGCCGGTGCGTGCTGGCGGGCAGATGCGCTCTCAAGCTCTGTTGTTTAATGAGCAAACCTCATTTGAGGCCGATCGCTGATGCAAAAGCTGCCTGTGCCGTGCGGTTGTCTCTGACCTCCGGCTGTTTAATGTTATCAGTGGTGCAGCCCCGCCTGAAGGCCTATCGGCAGATCGTGCATTGCTTCGGCCCCGAGATCCTCCTGGAGAGCGGAGAGATCGACCGCGAGGCGCTGGGAAACATCATCTTCTCCCACCCCGAGAAACGGCGGCTGCTGAACGCCATCACCCACCCCGAGATCCAGAAGGAGATGCTGAAGCAAGTCTTGAAGTACTTTGTGCTAGGTAAGGGCGGCGGGGCTGCTGGCTGTGCCCGCGTCAACGTGGAGAAAGGGGCAGGGAAGGGAAGCGGAGCTGAGTGGCCGCCTTTGTGCTCCGCGCTGGTGGCCTTTAGCTTCGGCGTTCCGAGTTTTCGTCGCTGCCCTTCCTGCCTTTCACCGCTGCCCTTCGCATTCTTCTTCTATGGTTTACAGTACATCTGCAGGGCCTGAGAAAGGCATTGTGAGGCCTCTTTGGAGATTGCTCTTTGGATAATGTCATACCTTCTGAAATGGCCAAATATTATTCCCCGCTCCCAGCCTCCCTGGGCTTCGATGAAAGCTGCAGAGCACTTTTAGTCTCGATAAGGTGAGAAATGGGCTGACAGCTGTGCTTTCCAAAGTCCCGCTTTTCCCCCTGATAAATATAACAAATGCAGCTGTCAGACTTGGTCTAATCAAATGCCAGATAAGATCACCAGCTGTTTTGGAGGTCTCCGTGTAGACAGAAGGATGTCTTAATAGAGTCAGTCTGGTTTTGTGGAGCTTATCAAAGCTGAGCTGCTTGACAGCTGAATAGGGCTGCGCAGGGACCCCAAGATTTGAGGTGGAAGGAGCAGAAGGCGAGGGAAACAACGGGCAGGAGAGCTGGGAGCCAAAACACTCCGAGTTCTGAACCCAGGCTGCAAACTCAGAAGGAAGGCCCTGTCCTGCCCCTTGGCGAGAGTGCAGCGTGTGTTCAGCAGGCTGCTTTGTCCTCATTAGTCAGGTTTTAATGATTTGGGATAGCTGGATGCTGTCTCCGAGGATTGCTCTGTAAGGAAGGCTCTATTGATCAAGCCATAGGGCAGCAAGAAGCATCTCTAGACAGAGATGCTGGTAAAATGGTGGTTTGCTGGGGGATTGTGCCTTTGTCCAGGCTTTTGTTGCCGTGGCCTGGTTGGATGGGGAGCACTGGCTTTGTTTATAAACCAGCAGAGCCGTCTGCAAGGATCTCCTTGCTCTCTTTGGGAAAAGTGAAACTGCTTAGCTAAAGCTTTCCAAAAGGGAAGAAAACTAAGCTGGAAAATGAGCCGGGAAGCATCGGCTTAGCTGACTGCAGCCTGGCAGAGCCTCGGACAGCTGAAAGAGAGAAGAGCAAATTCTGCTGTGGGCGCTGCTCCCCTGGAGAGGCTGGCGACGACGTGTGACTGCTGCTCCTGCCAGCACTACACTGCCGCTTCCATTTGAGCTTCTTGTTTCATCTCCTCATTATATTTCTGCAGCTTCACCTTTGGTCTGAGATCATCCAGGTTAGGGTTTCGGTTGGTTTTGTTTTTTTTTTCTCCTTTCCCCTGCAGAAACTTGGACTGAAACCATTTCCTCTGTCTGAAAGGAGGGGGGCTGCTCTTCTCTCGGAGCAGCTGCGCTCACGGAGAGTTTTGCCGGAGCAGCTGCAGCGCACGTGTGAGGCTGTTGGGAATGCGTGTAACCGACCCTTTTGGGGGTGTTGTCGTTCCTGCAGGCTACCGCTATGTGATCCTCGACATCCCTCTGCTCTTCGAGACCAAGGGGTTGACCAAGTTCATGAAGCACACCGTCCTGGTGTACTGGTAAGCGCCACACGAGCCGCGAGCACTGGGCCGCCTCCCCGTCCCTCCGCGCCCAACTCAGCGCCGCCTCTGCCCCGCAGCGACCCGCAGACCCAGCTGGCACGGCTGAGGAAGAGGAGCGGGCTGTCCCAGGCTGAGGCCGAAGCACGCATCGCCTCGCAGCTGCCGCTGGATGAGAAGCGCCGCCTGGCCGCTCACGTCATCGACAACTCCGGCGACCGCGAGAGCACGCGCCAGCAGGTGCTGCGGCTGCACGCGAGGCTGGAGGATTCCCTGGACTTCCTGTGGGCACGGCTGGCGGTGGGGACGGCCGTGGCTGCGCTCGGAGGGCTGCTGTACCTCCTCCTCCAACGTTTCATCTCTTAATTCACCTTTGTAGGGTTTTTTTTTTTTTTCTTTTTCTTTTTTTTTCCCCCTCAGTTGTTTTCCGAAGGCCTGGATTTCCAGGTTTGAAAAGGGCACTGAAAGGCCACCTGTTTTAATGAGCTTTGCCAGCTGAATGCAGACGGTGGGGTGAGGTTTTCTCCTGCTGACTTCCCAAGGTGAATGTGAGTTTTCTTCCAGCGCCGTCTCCCATCTCTGTTCTTTAACTTTCTGCTCGGGGGCTGGTGCCCATCTGTGGGTGAGACAGCTCCCATGGAGGGGATGAGGCCCTTCTTAGCCCCACGGAGATCTGAATGGTGGCATTCCGACCTGTTCAGCCTCTTCCATGGCAATCTCTTTATGGAGGGAATAGGTGGGCTCTCAGGCCTGCTTCCTGCTGCTAACTGTCCCCAGGTTGATCTCCTGGGATGAGATATGAGATTTTCCCTTCTTTCACTTTAAACCTGTGGTTGGGAACCAGCAGCATGTCATTCCCCGGGGCTGGGTGTACAGCTGGCTGCTCGCATCCCCTCTGCCCCGTGTTTCTGCAGCCTAAACAACCCCGTGAGCATTACCTCCCAAAGGGGGATGATGCTGAGGGCCTGATGCACCCCAGAGGGGCTGAGACCCGGGAGCTGCCCCTTGGGAAGGCACTACTGGAGAGGATGAGCCTGGGCGAGGCGGGTGCTGGCTCTCGGCGTTTGGTTTAATAAAGCACTAACCAGCAGACAGCTCCCCGTGGCTCTGAGATTTCCAGGCTGCAACGCTGCTCTTTTCCTGGCCTTCTCCCAGGCTGTTCCTATGCTGGGGCACGGCTGCGCTCTGTAAAGTTCATTGTGTGCAAGCAAAGCTTACGAGCACGCTGATGTGTTCCCGATGCAGAGCCTGGTTCTGGTCCCAGGAGCTCTGCAGCCTCGGTTCCTGCAGGGCCGTGGCTCAGCCCTGGCCCTGAGCTCTGCTCTCAGCTCTGGGCTCATGAGCACAGAGTGCAGCGGGGTTCCAGGCCCTGCAGTTAGCGTGGCTGCAGGGACCTGTGAGTCCCGGCCCTGGGCTGCTTAGTCTGAGCATCCCAGCACAAGCAATAACTCTCCGTCATGCCCCTCTCCTGCTTTTTAATGTGCCTTTAATTGCGGCGGTGATGTCGGGGCCGGGAGTCCCTCCCAGCAAGCCATAAATCAGGTCTGGAGCAGGACAGGCTAAGCCAGAGATAAGCACTGATTGCGTTCCTCCCTCCCGGCTCGCTGCCTCCGCGATAAATGGGGCTGCGATGAGGCCGGGGGCAGTGAGGCTGGCACAATAATCACATTTGGCGCTCCGCTCCCGCCCCGCTGACGTTTCCCAGGCACTAATGAGTTTAGTAGGGCCAAGGGAGGGCTGATTTCAGGGGGGCTGAGAGGCGCAATGCTGCCCAGCGTGGGGATGGGGATGTGCACTGCCCGGCTGTGGGGCTGAGCTGGGCTCACATCTTGTGTCCTGGCTGCACAGCTGGCACCCGTGGGGAGGACGCTGAGCCCAGTGCACGGCTTTGGAATTGGATGCTGCGTCCCCCATGGGTACCCAACGATGGTCCCCCACTGCGGGTGTCCTTCTCTGGCTGCCATGTCCCTCAGTTGTGGGGACAACCTCTGGCCACATCCCTGACCCTTTCAGGGACACCCTGCACTCAGCGGCTGTCCCCACCGGTGACAAATGGCTCAGCTCTGTGCCATCGA